TGCAACAATTGCTGGCCAGCATTTGGTACGAAGGATTGCCCGGCTTCCGCAGGAAGAACATGGCACTGCAGGCTGTGGACATCATCAGGATCGGCATCATGTTCCCCATCTTCTCGCTGGCCTACATCCTGGCGCCCTACTCCAGCATTGGCCAAACGATGCGGAAGCCCTTCATCAAGTTCATCTGCCACAGCGCCTCCTACTTCACCTTTCTATGTGAGCATACTCCTTTCAACTCCTTTTAATCACTTCAAGCAACTCGAGTTTAATCCGATTTCTCAGTTCTTTTGATGTTGGCCTCGCAGCGGATTGAGACCTTCATTGGCGGCTGGTTCTTTGCCGATTCCTCGGGAATGCTCAACACGATGGAGGAGCTGCCCACGAAGCGAGGAGCCAAGCCCACCTTCATTGAGTGGCTCATCCTGGCCTGGGTGAGCGGTCTCATTTGGAGCGAGGTGAAGCAGCTGTGGGACGTTGGTCTGCAGGAGTACCTCAACGACATGTGGAATGTGATTGATTTCGTCACAAACTCCTTGTACGTGGCCACTGTGGCTCTGCGCGTTGTGTCCTTTTTTCAGGTAAGCTTCACACGTAAAATGCATTGAATTTCATACGAATAAGAACGTATATCGTAAAATAGGTCCAGAAGGAGATGATATACAACTCGCACGCCACGGATCTGCCGAGGGAGCGGTGGGACGCCTGGGACCCGATGTTGATATCGGAGGGTCTATTCAGTGCAGCGAACATTTTCAGTAGCCTCAAGCTGGTTTATATATTCTCGGTGAATCCGCATCTGGGGCCACTGCAGGTGTCGCTGTCCCGGATGGTGATGGACATCATGAAGTTCTTCTTTTTATATGTCCTGGTCCTCTTCGCCTTTGGCAGTGGTCTCAACCAGTTGCTGTGGTGCGCATATATATAATTATGGAACCCCATTTAGACATGGGTAGATGCAAGATGCTTATATTGAATTCCAACACTTTAGGTACTATGCCGATCTCGAGAAGAAACGTTGTCCTGAAGTTTCGCCCATGAGTGCCCTTCTGAATATGAATGGCACCAATGATCCGAATGCCTGCATTGTGTGGCGTAGATTCTCCAAGTAACCAATAAACATAGCAACCTGTTGCTATTTACTAATTTAATACCTTTAGTTTATTCGAAACCACACAAACGCTCTTCTGGGCTGTCTTCGGCCTGATAGATTTGGACAGCTTTGAGTTGGATGGCATCAAGATCTTCACCAGATTCTGGGGCATGCTCATGTTTGGAACTTACTCGGTCATAAATATTGTGGTGCTGCTAAACCTTCTAATTGCCATGATGAATCATTCGTATCAACTCATTTCGGTGGGTTACTTTCACTAATCCACTAAAAATCGGATTTAATTTGTTAATATTTTTATTTCTGTGAAGGAACGTGCTGATGTGGAGTGGAAGTTTGCTCGCTCGAAACTCTGGATAAGCTACTTCGAGGAGGGCGGCACCTGCCCACCACCTTTTAACATCATACCCACTCCAAAGTCTATTTGGTACGCCATTAAGTGGATGCGTCGCGTCTTCTGCAGCGGATCCTCTGCCGCTCGACGGGAACACCTAAAGACAATACGAGTAAGTGAACTAAATATTCATATATCTGTCCGATTTTGTATATCCTTTAAACATATGAATCTCCTGCAGCGAAAGGCGCAGCAGGCCAGCGATCGGGACTTCAAGTACCAGCAGATAATGCGGAATTTGGTCAGACGGTATGTGACTGTGGAGCAGCGGAAGGCGGAATCCCAGGGAGTCACCGAGGATGACGTGAACGAGATCAAGCAGGATATATCCGCGTTCCGGTGCGAGCTGGTGGAAATACTCAAGAACAGCGGCATGGATACGAATGTGACGGCGGGTCACGGAGGTGGTAAGCTCAAAGAATCTCTAGAAGATGGCTAACAACCCTCTATTTGAATGGGTTTTCTATCGGCCCACAGGAGGTGGTGGCAAGAAGAACCGCCAGAAGGAGCGTCGCCTGATGAAGGGCTTCAATATCGCACCGCCCGGCTCTACGGGATCGCTGGCTCCTGTGGCCGAGTTCTCCACCTCGCTGGACAACTATGATAACCAACACGACATCCTCAGCTCCACACTATCCACACTCTTTACGCCGAACTTTATGCACAAGCGACAGCAAAGTCAGGCCGGAAGCGGGGGCGGTGGATCGGAGTCGCCGACCACGCCCACAGGCCCCCAGGGAACTCAGGGGGCGGCCATGGGCGCCAGTGGCCAGGTCACCAAGTACAACAAGTCCGCCCTGAAGCCGTACAACAAGCGCATCGCTGGACACAAAAAGCGATGGGGTATGTGAATTTGTTGAACAAGGATAAGCACTTAGTTTAAATACTTGCATTAATACTTATAAAAATTACATATTATTTTAAAGGCAAAGCTTAACTCCCCCTTGTTAAATAAACAATTATTTATTTGCAGGCACCCTAATTGAAGCAGCCAAAGTTGGCAACGTGAGCAAAATGCTGGGCCGTTCGAAGTCCGAGGACTCGGTGTGCAACTCCTCGCACCCATCAACGCCAGTTCATGGACAGATGCGGGTGACCTACGCCCAGAACTCGCCCCAGCAGGGATATGGTTACCATGCAGAGACCAGTTCCACGGCCACATCCACATCCACGCCAACTCCCACGATCTCGGTGGTTAGCAATTCGCCAGCAGCTCACGCGGGAGTGGGATCGCATTTCTTTCACACCACAAGTGGTATGTGATAAGTGGCCAAGATACTGATGGTTGCTTATTAATGTTTTCAATTCAGGTCTCACTGCCATTGCCGCCCTGAAGCGCAAGCGCAAAAAGTTCTCATCGAGCAAGAACATTTGCCCGGTAACCGAGTCCGTGGCAGCGGCCAATGCTGCTGAGCTGCTAAATGATAAGGTGAGCTGCTCCGTTTGAACATGATGCTACCAAGTTACTAAGCTGGTTCCTCCGTTCAGACCCTTAAGCGGGTGTCCAGCTATCCTGCAGCCGAGGCCGGCGTGCAGCACAATCCGGCCCAGTTGGTCAAGCCACGGCGACATGAGCAAACGCAGAGTCAGCACGATTCGGTGGAGACCAACTCGACCTTCACGCTGTCCATTGATCCATCCAACACGTCCGTGAACTCCAGGGAACCGCTGATCAGCACCAGCTGTGTTTCGACCACGGGAGCTATTGGTTGAGCGAGGGATGGCCAGGAATGCCAGATACCAAAGATGAAGCAGCTAAACTACTTAAACGACGCACCTGAAGCAGACACTTACTAGATACTATGCAGATACACTTTGTTGACATTTTTGATATGAAAACACCACGAGTGTGCAGCTAAACTTACTGAAGAAGCTATACTTCGACTAACTCAGTCTAGATCTTAAATTACCTCACCATGTTAAGTTATAGACACCATTCAGATGAATAGCACACACTACTCAATAACTGTTAGCCAACACTGGCCACCCAGAAACAACTACTTTGCACCACTGAAACTATATGTCCTATACCTCAATCTAATATAGATTCTATATCCATCAAACTTATTTACAAAACATCGTCTACACATCCTACTACAAAATCCACTTTGAGAGAAGAGGAAAGATAAATTCGGACAAACTTGCAGTTACGAACCAAAATGATTAGATTATCCTTATGAGAACTGCACGATATAGACGTCCGAGGCTTACATTTACAAGAAAATACTTTAAATAGTATTGTCAAAGCTAGTTTGCATCCAGATTTCCTCCTCAACCTGAACCATGAAGCACACATATCATGCAAGCGCTTTATAGAGATACCTTTTACACCGAAAACAAAGTATAGATCCAATAAAATCCTTTATTAAATACATATGCGAATACGAAATACTAAACTATCCCATATCGATGTTGAACGTTGCCTTAGCATGAAACATATTTTTTATACACATAAGTTTTGGATGAACATTGAATAACTGAAACGTACTATACCCGCAATGACGAAAGCGCTGTGTATTTGTTGATTTGAGAGAAAGGATTTTGAAACCAAGGATTTGTTGTTGTTCCAGCAAGCAAGTACGCAAGTAAGCAGAAAAGCAAAGCAAAGCAAAAGCAAACGCAAAGCAAAACAAGTAAATAAATCAAAAGATACCACAATTTTATACACCGATTTTAACCAACACGACAAACAATAATCGAATCGCATACTACATACCTAGGAAAGTGTTTGCATTTAATGGGTATATATGTATCCGGACTACGGTGTGCATATCCATGGCTTGCACTCACGACGATTTTAGCATGTATTATATACATACATATATATATATATAGAATACAAATATGAATAATCGAAATTTTTAGATGATTTTTGCGTTAAAGTAGACAAATACCCACACAACTACACGAATAATATACGGAATATCAACGAAAACAATAACAAGGAATATCAAATAGCATTTTATATAAATACTTTCTTTTGGAGCAGCAAAGATATGTTGCACAATCGCCAGATACTCGTATGTATGTATTTGCTGCTGACAAAAAAGGACGAGATACCAAATACAATGTTAGAATAAAATAAAAAATTGTTATTTGCACGGAAACATAAAATAATAATAAAAATATAAGGAAACGTATGTACCAGTTGTTTCTTTTGAGTGTATGTCTTCTTTTCTAAAAAATCAAACTTTTAAAAACGTAAAACTCCATCTTGCGATCGGAAAAATAAAAACGACAGGTTTATATTTATTATTTGTATATCGCATTTATTTTAAATGTTTTATATATATATATATATTTTGCAAATAAATTTTATAAGTTGTAAACATAGAAACATACATAATTTCCATTTATTTATCATTTGATTCTGATTTAAGTTTATTTATTTATTTATATATATAATGTTTTTAATTTGCATCAAGCAAATGTTTATGCTTTACATGAACAAACATTTGTTTCGTTTTGTGTATTTTTATTTTTTTGTTCTTTTTCTCGTTTTTTTTTTTTTAGATAAGAATCCGTTTTGTATAATTCACATTAAATGCTATGGAAAGAAACAATTACATTTAGTTTAATTTATTTAATTAGAAAAATAATAATAATTGGAATATAAATCACTTTGCCTAGTTGGGGCTGCTATAGCCACATGGGACAGCCTACGAAAAGTGTCGGGTTGAATTTATTTAGTTGGTTGGTTGGTTGGTTGTGAAATGCAATAGTTGGATTGCCAGCGAATATATCAGCCCCAACTGGGGTTGCCTTGGTTTTCTCAATTTTTGCTCATCGTATAATAAGTATATAATAAATTGTGTAATAACTCGTATAAAAAGGTTGTGAGAATGAAAGAAGCGTCTGCTGTTTTACATATATCTATGTTTTGTATATATATATATAAATATATATATCTGCGTAGATTGGAGCGATTGGGGAAACAATTATACAGCACTGAATACTTGTAGCTAGTAGTCTAATAAATTCATACTTTTCGTTTAATTATTCGTTCTGCATTTGCCCTCTGGCATCATTGATGCCCGCCCCCTTCTATCATTCGATTATTTTTTAGCTACTTAGGAGTGTTTTTAGATGGTGCAATTTGTTGACCAGCTATCTACAATCGTTTTGTTGGAATACATTTTACAAAAAGTCTTGTAAAAAAAATCATGCACAGCGGGCGGGGCCACGCCCACATGCTAGTTCTACACGTATTATACACGAATTTTACAATCCTGCCGGGAGGGCAAATGCAACTTTTTGGGGCCACACAGAAAGTAAAAGCTTGTGAAGCATTTCGAAACAGGTTTTGACAATTACTAGTGAGCCTTTAGGTTCATTTGCTGGCTGGTCTCTTTTGTTTATAGCACATATGGAGATTAGACTTTCGTTTTGTGACAACAAATATTATAAGTAAATACCATTTTTAACATTTAGCTGTGTGAATGTATGCTGTTGCGGTTTTGTGTACATTTAATACAATTAATGGGGTTTTGCCTATTCATCTCTCCTCCTCTGATCCACTTTCTATTGTTTTTTTTTTCGTTTTTTTTTTTTTTGATTTCCTGTTATGTTTTGTTTAAAATTAGACAATATACAATTTGATTTTGTTTCATTCAGTTACGGTAAATATATAAAAAATACATAATTACAACTAATGGTTTAAATTACTTCTTTGAGACAAAGGGTTTCATATTTGTTTGTTTTTTTTTTTACTTTTCTCCTGTCGTTTCGCCTGCAAATCCTGGGTATCCCACGTTGGGCGCCATTTATTTGAATGTCGTATCCTTTTAGCCCCTCAACATATTGACCAGCATGGCGACCAGGAAAGTGCCCACTAGGAAGGAGACCACAATGCACACGGCCTTTTGTTGGTCGCTAAGACGCCTTCGGTTGGAGTAAAGTGAAGTAACCTTACTAACGATCCGCCTTAATCCTCCCGTTTGGGCCAAACTAGAGGTTATGGCCGCTGCCGTTGAGGAGCTGGAATTCGAAGAGCTACCGCCCATTCCGGTGTGCGGATGGTGGGCGTGGTGCATGTGATGCGAATGATGCATGTGGTGCTGGTGATGCGAGTCCGTTGCCCCGGAGATTCCACCGGCTCCTCCAACGCCGCCACCGCACGGCTGATGGTGGTGGTGGTGATGATGATGATGGTGATGCAGGGGATCTGCACAGGCATTGAAACCAGAAATCTCCTGCTGCAGTCGTCCAATTGCCACGGGATCTGCTCCCACGCCGCTCGCTCCACTTATGGCCGACGCACTCACCGATCGCATGTGCAGACCGTTGGTTGACCCATTGCCTGCGGACAGTTTCCGGCTGCTTCTCTGGTTGGAGGCCATCGCCGGTATTGCAGTGGAGCCGTGCAGGTGGTGATGACAGGTCGCCGAGCTAGGATCCAGTTCACTGGGCACCTGGTAGCGCAACGGACTGGACGGCTGACCGTGAAGGAGTTCGCCGCCCGCCGCTATCCGCACTGGACAGACTCGGAACTGGTAACATGTGCCAGCTGCCAGATTGTCAATGGTGAATTTGGTCTCTGGGCCGCGGTACAATTGCCTGTAGTCATGATTGGGCAAATTAATTGGAGCTCCATTTGAACTGCCACTGGAGCTGCTGCTGCGTCCTTTGGGCGACAAGGATTCACCCTCCAATTCAGCTGCGCCCAAGACAGCATACTGCAATTCGTACTCCACGCGGTCGTTGAACGAGTTCTTTGAGTGCTGCCACTCCAGGGTGAGTTGCATTCCCAACTGGCCAGGTAGCTCCATTAGACAAACGCTACCCTCTTGGACAACACGAGGAGGCTTTATGTTCGCCGGCAGCGTGGCCGAGGTCTCGAAAACGAATTCCTCCGAGTAATCCCCATCGCCAGCCCGATCGGTATGGGCATAAATCCGGAAGGTGTAGCTGCTTCGCTCCTGCAGTTTGTGCACCTTGCACATGCAATTGGTGCCGGAGTAGACAGCCTGGAACTGCTTAGCCCTGGCCACATACATCTCCACAAAGTACTTGGTAAAGTCGCCTCCGTTTCCAGACGGATTGGAGTTTACAACTTTGCCATTTCCGTTCTCGCCCCACTTCAGCTTTATGTAATTGTGGCCGGCACCGCTGCACTCCAAGCGAGGTGGTGCCGGAGGAGCTGGTTGGGTGGTCAGCTTAGCATAGGCACTAAAAGCTCCGGCACCAATGGCGTTAACCGCTTGCACACGGAACTTGTAGCCGGTTTCCGGCATTAAGCCACTAACAGTATAGCGTGTACAGGCATCCGGAGTGGCAATGGTTCTTTCCCCGTACTCAATGTTGTAGGAGCATATGGGCGAGCCGTGGGCAGCCGGCTGCGTCCAGTTGAGTGTGACCTCCTGGGCGGTGAACTCGTAGCCCTGCATTTGAGGAGCTCCTGGAACTGCGGCTGGCGTGCACACACTTATCACGTCGGAGGAGTTTCCCGTTCCGGCTGAGTTGCTCGCCTGGATGCGGAAATGGTAGCGTGTGTAGGGCGAAAGGTTTCTCAGTTCAGCGCAGGTTTGTGGTCCCTGATAGCAGTTGTGGAATTCGGAGCTGGGCGGCTCCTTGACCTCCTCCTCCGACTCCTCTTCCCTTCTCTCTTGGGTGGCACTTTTTAGAGTGTAACTGGTCACTGGGGCACCATTCTCCTGCAACGGCGGTTGCCAACTGACACCCAGGTGGGTGGCCGACTTCACCAGCACCCGCAGCTCTTCGGGAACTCCAGGCGCAGCAGCTGCAGCCGTAAATCTCATCCACTGGGACCAGTTACCGGCGCCAATCCGGTTGATAGCCCTTACCTGGGTTTCATACATGCCACCGGGTGTCAGATCCTGTGCCACAAAGTAGGCCTGCTTGCCCCGGTAAACCAGCTGCGGAGGCTGCACTTGCTCCAGGCGACGCATCTGGGCTTCGAACTCTAAAATGGGAGCTCCACCGTTATACTCCGGATGCTCGAGCTTTAGAAGGGCGGCGTACGGCGAGGGAGGATCACTGCAATGCGGCGGAGGCGGGGCAGATGGCGGCACAGCCTCCGTGGTGACGTGTCCTATATCGGAGTAGGGACTCTGGCCAGCTGGCCCTTCGCAACAGGCTCGCAGAGCGTATGTGGTGCCCGGTTGCAGTCTTTCGCACATGGCTTCTGTTTCGGCGCCACTGTAGATCCTTTCAAATGCTGGACCCGCGGCACTTAACTCTAAGTGGTAGCGTACGATCTCAGCACCACCAGAATCGCTGGGTGCATCCCAGCGGGCCTTAAACTGGGTGCCATGAATCTTTCCCTTGGCATGGGGCTTGCCCGGCCTTCCGGGACGTTCCGCTAAGGTGCGGTAGCTGACCTCCGGTGACCAGGGTGAAAAACCCGCTTCGTTTTCGGATCTCAGACGGAATTGATAGCTGCTCGCCCGCCTCAGTTGCAGGCACTCCGTTTGCAGCTCTGTACCCTTGTAGGTATTCAGGAAACCGTGACCCGATTCTGCATCTTGCAGTTGCAGCAGGAAGTCTCCATCCTGGGCCCGCCGCTCCCAGCCCAGTTTTAGGGAACTGGAACTGCTGGCCAGCAGCTGAGGTGGTTTAGGCACTGGCGGAGGATTTCCGGAGGTGCTGTAGCTGGCCACCGGAGAATAGGGACTCTGACCCGCTTCATTAACCGCCGCCAAACGGAAACTGTAGACCGTAGTCGGCTGCAGCTTTCCAATGACATAGTGCTTGGCCTTGATCTTGGCCAACTCCACAAACTTCTGCGGTTGTCCTGGCATCCTGCCCTCATCGTATTCCAGCAGATAGTGCTGAATGCTGGCGCCGTTTGCTGCTGGAGCAGCCCATCGAAGGTTTATGGAGTTCTTGGTACGGGAAACCAGTTTCGGAGGCGGCGGTTGATCTGGCTCACAGGGCGGCGTCCGAAATTCCGTGGGATCACTCACTGTTCCCGTAAGTTTTTGGTAGTGCACCTGGAAGCGCACCAGGTACTCCTGACCCGGCTGCAGGTCCTGCACAATGCACTCGTAGGCCTCGCCTTGGTACAAGCTCTTGTACTTGCACTGCTTGCCAGAATCACAGAGGAGCACTTGGTACCGGAGCTGGCGCATATCCACCGTCACGGTATTCGCAATGGCTGGACTCTCCCAAATTATCTTGGCCGTCCGCGAAGTCACATCTATTACCTCAGGCTTTTCAATAGCAGAGATTTGCTCAATGATGCTATTCTCTCGATGGTACTCCTCCTCATCATCGCCGGCCAGACTGGAATTATCCTCGCCGTCCTCGGAGGTTCCCACAGAGCTGGCGCCACCCACACTGCTGCCAGCTCTCTGGGGATGCTGGGGATTTCCGTTCCTGGTCTGCGACTGTTGCTGCTGTGCCACCTGATGGGTCTGCCCCTGATGCTGCTGCGGCAGGCGGCGTCCTTGATGGTTCACTGCATGATGGTGGCTGCTGAGGTGTACGGGCAGGGAGACACCCGGAGGAATGTTGTTATTATTGTGACCATTCAGTTCGTTGGCACGGCGTGGAGATGGCGAATGCGGGGGATCTGCAGGACAGTGAAATGTATATTAATACAAACGTGGCATGCTTTCGACGCAGGATACTCACTTGACTCCCGCTGCTTCTCCAGCTTCCGGAGCAGCTTGTTGTGCTGCCGCTGGCTGCGTTCATCCCGATAATTTGGCGGCGATGGCGAGTGCGGGGAATGTGCGTGCGGCTGGGGGTGTGTGTGCGAGTGGGCGTGTGTGTGGGAGTGCGAATGGGTGAGCGAATGGGTGGTTGTCACAGTGGCTGGTGCTCCTTGGGCTGCGCCTACACCTCCAGCGTTTGGTGCTCCTTGGACCGACGGTGGTGCCACCTGCTGCTGTGGTTGCTGCTGTTGTTGCTGTTGCGGTGGTGCTCCTTGGGGCGCCGGTTGCTGTGGTTGCTGTGGTGGCTGCTGCTGCTGCGGCGGCGGCGGTGGCGGCAAATGATAGTGCGGTGGACCATTGCCCGCAGGTCCTGGGCCAGGATAGCCCGCCACCGGAGTGTAGAAATGCGAGGTGCCATTCGCGCTTATCTGAAACGTATTCAAAATGCCACTTAAGTAACCTGCTCAGCATTTAGTTAGTTATAACCAAATTGTACTTTAATAAGCAGCGTTTTTCCCGTTTTCTGTGAGTCTGCCATGCTCATTCAACTGAAAGACTTGAAGTCCACGTCGACTTTTACACGCTGGCTATAAATATCTCGCAAAAGAACAGGCCGTCGACTAAAAACAAACTGATAACAACTAATTGACTTTCGATTTCTTATCTTTCGCAAAACGGAAGACAACAATTTACGTGACTTCTTCCCGCAATTAACTGCTTCGACTTTTGCCCAGCTGCATGGCATCGATTTCCTAGGAACTTCTAACTAGTAAATAGTTTAGTAACTAAACCCGTATAAATTCAAGGAACAACAAATTGCAATGTTTTCAGTGGGGCTGCGTTTGCTAGGTGGAAAAATACCACCTCTCTAACGGTATTTTTTTAAACCAAATGAAGTAGTGAAAAGGAAATGTGCGTGATAATTACGCAAAATAGCAGAAAAATAGTATTATAAAAATGAATAAAGTTAAATATTTTTTTTCTCTTGACAACACTTTGCCCTTCTCCTATTATACTCATAGCTACAAATTTCGCATGCTTAAATATAGCTAGTAATCTAAATTGGCAACACTGCTTTACAGTCATCAGTATTTCAGAGTTTCACATCAACTAGCTATTTGTTTTCAGCCCGCACGGTTTTATACTGCGTAGCTTTCGTTAGCTGACGACTTAGCGCGTAAATTCAAATGTTTATCATTGCATACGAACTAAATGAAATTTTACCTTTAAACAGCTGAATTGTAACATTTACATATTTCAGACGATATTTATGAATAAAATTTTCTACTTTGTTTTAATCAATAACTTAAAAATCGTTATGCATAAGTTCATTAAAGTTTTTTTTTCAAAATAATATATGTACGTTATTCTTTTATACAGCGAACATATAAAATGCCTCGACTTAATTCCCGGCTAAAACGATTTTAGCAGCATATCATTAAATAAATTGCTTTCCCGGATATGGGCAATTAGCCACGCCCGCCAGCTGCATATATTACCTAAAAATTACCAAAGTGGCCCAACTGATTATTGATAATTTTGCCCACCAATCGGTGAAAACTGTAGCAAGTTTTTTCCTCCCTAAAATTACACTAATTTCGCGATTTTACATGACCAAAGTTGGCCTTACATATGTGTGTTGTGCAATTTCCACACTTTAAATTTCTCACCACGTTTCTTTTGGGATGATCATCAACTATGAATATGCAAAAAAATATGTGTCAAAGTTAATGAGTTTTTTTTGCGGTTTCTGCTCGAAAGCATCAGAAATAATAAATGAGAACAAAAGAAGCCGGATTAGCACATGGACAAAACCAAAAAAAAAAGAAAATAAGACTGAGGGGGAGTTTTGGTTTCGTTTTCGGTTTCAATGGTGCGACAGATACCGTTATTTCGAGTCAAGTTGCATAATGGATACCACAACACCGACTATGCAAATTAGCATACAATCAAATTATAAACATTTCAACATAAACACACAAGCGGAAGCTGCCATTTGTAAGTGCAGTATGCGAATTTCAGTGGCGCCCGAGCAAAGGGGTTTGGGTTTCTTATCCTATGGCAAATATGTGTTATTGAACAGCTTTATAACAAGAGTTTTTAAGGGCTGACTCTTTTGGGTGTTAATTTTTCATGTTCTTCTAACTGATGCAAAATTTCCCATTCAACTATTAAACTTAACCCTAAAAAAGGCACTACCTTGCATTGTCGGAAAATATTTGAAAATATAATTTCAAATGCTATCTTTTTTGCCCACATATATGGCAGAACCCCCTGAAAAGTTTCCCATGTCTAGCCGCTGTGTGTTTCAAGTGTGTGTTGCCGCCGTGTGGTGGCAGCAAATTGTTAATTAAGTCAAGGAAAATTCAGCCTCAGCCAGTCAAGTCGGAATGGCGGAGTCAGCGGAGCAGTCACCGCCGGCACTTTCATTTCAGCAACAAAGCGTGACGAAGCCACATGTGTCCAGGCTGGAATCCGAATTTGAGTGCGAGGCGGATGAAGTGGTTGTCCGCTGCATTAATCAAGTTTTTCACTGTGAAAATGGCATTAGGATTGGCGGGTTATGTAAAATGTGATAGCAAAGTTCAGACCAAGTGGAGTTCAATTAAGAGTCATGAGCAACAATGTTGCCAGCAGCGGGCACGATCAAGCTGCAACATTTAGTGGCTTGCACCAACTCAATTTGGCAAATCAACAACTGAAAACCTACAAATTGTTATGCAAATCGCCAGTTTAGTCAGCATTTTAATGCTGACAGCTTGGCAAAAAAAAGCTCCTAACTCTTTACTATACCTAGTATTAATTTTACTTCTTTCTGATTTAAATGCTTTAAAAGCAATTAAATTTTAATTAAAACGATGAACATACATATTGCTTGCATAGTTCTTCTGTATTTGTGATATGTCTACTATTTACAAATAAATCAGCCCCACGGAAAGCGCGTAATCGTTGAAAATTATACAATCCACAGTGCAATTAATTGCGGCTTTAATTGAGCGATTGATAATAATACAATAAATAACCTAAAGAGGGGAGTTGGGCAATAGAATTTAAATTGCGCTAGGCGCTAGCTCATAACCGGATTTGTAGTCTGGTCAAGTCACGAACCAGGATTGTTGGAGGAATCTGCCGCATCTTGGCCAAGAATTTCCAGCAATGCAAATGAAAATACTTAAATTTGCTACAAACTTTACGATTTCTGCACATAAAAGAGATGATAGGAATGTTTAAGCTGCACAATGAAATTGTTATTATTAAATTATTAGACATAAGTGGCGACGGGAGCAACAGTTGGGGTCTGAAACGTGATGTGACTATGTAACGCTCATCTGGTTTGGTTAACAAGCGTTTTTATTCGCTCGCCTCCATTTTGCAAATTAGCAAGGCAATTTAACTGGAATGCAGCAGCTCCAACTCTCAATTTGGCATCACCATGGGAGCCAACTAGTTCTGGATGTGAGTGGTCGAAAAAACCGAAGGGAAAGTAGCTTGCAACGGTAAAATCAAATAAAATATTGCCAGTTAAAGGCTTCTTTTTGATATTAAATATTACTAAAGCTTTGTATGTACTTAACAATCTAGAATCAAATATCCAAATTTTTCAGAAAGCTTTAAAGCTGTGACTCACGATTGTAATTATATGTACGTGTAGATGGCTTATTACTCTATTAAAGTGGCTTTTAATTGTTAGAAACCCCCAATAAGTCATTTACCCTTAGCTTTAATAAACATGACTTGACTACATACAATTTTTGATCGAAAATATTTAAGGAATGGGGAAAGTGGAAAGGTGGGGAAATGTGTATCTTTAAAGTTCACTTTTCCACCAACAATTACCATTTACCTGGCAAGCAACGCGGTCAGTTTCTCGCAGTTGGCAAGCACCTATTCGCAGCTGGCTAATTAGCATTCTGGCCAAACAATTTCGCAGAACAATTGTCAAAGCTCACGCCTAAATGACAGCTCGCGAAATGCAATGAAACGAATGCAGACGATGAACGTATTGCCTCTGAATGCATTTGCCATTCAAATATTTGCGCATGGTGAGTCAGGCATTGAGTTACTTAAATGGGACTTTGGAATTGTGCGAAATAGACTAATTAGTTATGCAAATTTCACGCTTTTCCCTCGAATTTTCCCTTGCACTGCAGATGGGCGAGCAAACAAAACGATATTGCTGTTCAGAAAACAAAAACTTAAGCCAACCGATGAATAAATAAATTATATATACAAAAGCAACGACAGCTGGCCAACTGTTTTGTCGCTTTTGTTTTTGTTTAAACTTTGCTTAAATTGTTGTTATTGTTTAGGTAAAAAGTTTACCCATTTCAGCCATTGTTTCGGCCCGTTTCAGTTTCATAATGCATTTGCATCGAAGCCGAGTCTGGTTGAAATTGAATAGTTTTCTGATTTACCAGGAACCACTTCACCCGGATCCAATCCGGTTTGTTTGCCGCATACGGCGACATTTGGTCAATAAATTATTTCCACAGACGCCCCCAATGCAAATTTCGTTCTCAAATCGAATAAGCAGCGGGGAATTATTGCTGTTGATTGCTGGTTGTTCGCTCAATTAGCTGTCAATTAATTGATAAGCGAAGGAAGTTCCGCCAATGGAATGGAAATGAGATACTGTTTTCCATCTATTCGATAGCAGAAGGTTTGGGTTTCGCCTACTGTTTTCCGATTCCATTTAAAAGTCCGATAAAATGCGTCGACATTGATTAATTCATTTACAGAATGCATTATTCTTATGATGCATTTGCGATGTGTAAAGATTCTTTAATCTTGCGGAAATGTCCAAATTGGTTTAAGAACAATTTTTAAATAATAAAACTTGTTTTGAATCTCTCCTTTTAAATATGGAATTTCCACAGCTTATGAGTTGTTTCTGGAGATTCCCACGAAAGTGGGAATTATGCCACTTCTGGGATTGCTAACTTAGCTACTTACGAATGGAGCTGGGTGGAGGTGTCCCTGGCCAGGATGCAGCTGCTGGTACTGCTGCGGCGAGAGCATCACGTGGGTCAGCGTTCCGTTCTCGTTGACGTACTGGGGCACCTGGACGGGCACCGGCATCGGCGGAGGAGGTCGGTTCTGGGACACCATCTGTACGGCGGGACCTGGAAGCAGTGACACCGGAAAGGGGGACAAATTACTTAAGATTCCTCAACAAGCGGCAATATGCTGATGATATGAGCGAGTGCGAGTGCGAGTATCTCGCAGATAGATAGCAATGTACAGATACATGTGCTGTAGTCATGTGAGAGGGCACAAGTTAAAGCAGGCGACAGCTGGCGCCAGCGAGGCGGCAGCCAGATACGCGCGAGAAAGGACTTGGGGGGATCCAGGACATTGCCAGGACAGCCATTGCTGCTTTATGTCAGCGGCGATTTCTCTGTGTTTGCTTAATGGATATATCTCTCTCTTCCTAGCCGACTCTGTCTTTTTTTTTCGTTTGGATGTGTGCAAATATGTATATATATGCACTGCGAGGAATTTACTTACGCTGAGTTAATATATTCAGGGAAATGAAATTAGTTTAACTTAAAGGATAATGATTTCCGCTGCCAGTGGAGAGTGGAATATGCAAATAAATTATTTGTTACCAATTTAGAGGTTTGGCTTGAGTAAATATCTACAAGCTGTGTACCGATTTGCCCCAGTGTATACATTTGAATATGTATGTTTGTGTTTGCTGCAGCCAACAAATGCTTGACAGAGTCTGCCAATTTCTGGCTCCCTCGTCGCCTCGAACTACTCAACTACGATACGCATACGCACCGTTGCCCAATTCCGATTTCATTTGCAATTTAAGTCTGCCCGATGATTAATATCCAGCCGGCCCGGTCCTGCCCGTGCATTCCCGTACCGCTCCGCTCCTGTCATAGGCACTGCACTGCCCACTGCCCCCCCCTGGTCCACGCTATAGTTGGCTTTAATAAATGTGTTGGAAACATAGAAATCTCTAGAGCAAACATTTCTTGGCAGCCTCATTTCGTGAGCAGAGAAAAATCGAGAATTGTGGAGTGCAGGAGTAGGGGTGAACAAAAGAAGTTTTCGGGGTTCTTGGCAGGGCATCGGAATCGGAATCGGAATCATAGCCTCAGCATTGTCTGGATCTGTTTCGGGTCTGGGTCTGGGTACTGGTTATGGTTCTGGTTCTGGTTTCGCCACTGTCATTCGGACGAGGGAATGGACGGCTGGAAGGCAGGCGAGGAATAGTACTAATATCAGAACTACCATTCCACGGCCATTTCCATTCCATCTGGGGATGCATTTCAACTGCAACGTTGTCGCATGTCATTGCCACAGAATAAACGACAGCAGACCGCCCCGAAAGTTGCCCCACCGCCCGCCAAACATTTCAGATATTTTTTGATTTGTGGATTTGTATTGCTTTTCAATTCTTATTCCTCCGCTGCTTGCCTCCATCTATTTTTTGGCTGCAATGCGACGAAGAACATAATGGAAATAGCTGAAGACTGCGAATGAGCAAACATTTGTTAACGGACGATGTCTGGCCGAGATTAGCGCATAATTCGGTTTGATAAATGATAAGCAGACCAGTCTCGTTGATTCCGATGTATTTCGAGTGAAATAATTGAATGTATTATTATTGGTGTGCACTTGTATGTGCCGTGATTAAATTAACATGCCTTTCCACAGCACACATCAAAGAACACACATTGTTCTAGTTATTAAAAATAAATAAAGCTAAGTATTAAAGATTTAACATTGGCCTCACTGGCCGCCCTTTAGTTGAATTCCCACGCTTTATCGTACCCATAAATATTTAAAGCCCAAACAGAAAGGAACGAGCCTGAAATCCATGTTCATCATAAAATGCATTCCATGTTTGCACATCAATATGGATGCTTTAAAATGCGATTCCCCCAGCTGCGGAATGGCACTTTGCATGCCGGGGCACGTAGGGGCAACGTGGCCATGCCCACTAGTGGCCCATTTTCGGAGTTTTCTCCTTCAATTTCCCATTTCGCTCGCCAAGGAAACCAATGCCTTCTAGTCGTTATACCCGGCACTTGAGGGTAACAGGGTATACCGCGTTCGTTCAAGAGCATGCTCCAAACAGAAGAAGGCAATTCGTACCCTATAAGTATTTATCAGAACAACGAACTAAGCCGATCTAGCATGAAGATGGTAAAGTGCGAGGTTAGTGTGATCTTACCACTTTAAGGGGTATATAATAGTCGACCCTCGAGTGTGGCACTGGCTCTTGTTCTTGTCGTGCTTTTGTTCGCTTTCTTAGCCTTCTGTTCTCTTTCGCTGGCTAAGCAATGCAGAGTTGCATTTTTTATGGACGCCACGCGGCGTATGCGTAATGTTGGCAAATGGATTGCGGGTAGGTTATCGTGTGCTTGTGTGGGTAGTTAGCTAGGTAGGTAGGTATCCCCCGCTTTCGCTTTGATAGTTAAACTGTAAACTTAACGGTAATGCGGCTCTTAATACGCTTAGCCATGTCTCGCACTCATTGAGGCCGAAAATGCTGTGCCCCGCCGTTCAATCATGCATTAAATGCCATCCGCCGGCAGAAATTACTAGACAAAGTCCGGACTCCCGTGCTCCCCTTGCCCGCAGTGCCTTCATCTGCTCTTAGGTGTAAAAATGTTGGTTTAGTGCGCTGACGCATAATGCGACTGAAAAGCGGACAAACGATGATGGCTGATAAACTGAAACCAAGAGTTTTCCGCCCACTTCCACAACACCCCATGCAGTTAATCATTCCTAGTGAGTAAGGTAGTGCGAAATGGGGGGTTTTTGTTTTCAGGGGCTGGAGAAGATTGTCTGGCCAGGAAATGCACACCGTTCCAGAGCGAGATAGATGGCGAGTAAAATTCCACTCAAGTGTTAAAAGGCAGCAATTAGTTTGGCGGAACGGGGCTGGTTACCGAGTTTGCGGGGTGAAATGGGGAAAATAGCTTATCACTTGGCCAGCAGACAGACAGTTAAATTAAGTACTATACTTCAGCGACAAAACCTCCTCGGCTTTCGCCGCGAGTGTCTGCAACTCTTACTCAAACTTAATTAATGCTAAACTGCTTAAGAAGCGATTTGGGGTGGGGTCCATGAAAAGGTATTTTCGCAAGGAAAGTGTAAGTTACCCAGAAGTTCTAAAGGATTTCCGAGAATATGTTAATAGTAAGTCAAGCAAGTAGTTTAAAAAGTTCTATATATATATAGAGGTTTGAACAGCAAGCATAGTTTATGTGCGAAATATGAAAACATTATTCAATGAAAAATAGTTGAGATACCAAGCTATGATTATGTCAACTTTTGCTGGGCAATTTAAAACTATGAGTTACATGAATAAGTTTTCTAGTTACAAAGGCGTTCAAAGTTCCCAGTAACTCAGGTATCTGCCCTCGCTGGGGCAAAATCAGCCACTTCAATTTTCTGCCCTGATGCGTTGACCTTGTGCCCAGCACACTCTTAACCCTTGTTGGCCCGCCTTAACCCCGCTATTCCTTTGGTAGACAGTGTCAAAATAAAGTTGTGGTCCAAACGCGTTTGAGCTAATTGCAAATGGTTATTGCTTTCCTGTTGTTACGCATTGTTGAGTTCCCTTTCTGCGACCCTCAGTCTCTCGTTTATTCAGTTAGTGTCGCGGGCTCGAGGTCAGGGGTCAGGGGTCAGGGGTCATGGGTGAGGGCTGTTGTCTGGCGGTCTCGATTGTTGGCAGCACGCACAGGCATAACACGCACCAAATGTCTATAAAATTAATAACAATTGGGTTAGTAGCCGCAAAGCAAAACTTCAGTCAAGGAAATTCAAGTAGAGATTTCCTCACACTGAATGTTTTCTTCGATTTGTTCAAGTGAGTTATTGCCGGGGAATTCATCTTATTATATGAATATTTTATATATACTACATTCACTCAAGATTCCCTTTGATGAACGCCCAGGGAGTTGAATAAACTCTCGATTGTCTTGAGCTTGATTTATGATTCTTTTCGATTGAGGGAAATGCAAATGATTTCCATGGGGGTGTCAATGCGATATTACACTATTGATTGCGAAAGTTAACTCCCTGGGTGCTTTTGCTCCATCGCTTTGATATTCTCGATAATTACCCAGCAAATCTAGACCAGTTTGCGGTTAGTTGGCTCATTAAATCAACACTTTTCCTCACTTATCTCAAATTCCGATCCCATGATAATTGCGTGTCTCTCCCATTCCCATTTTCTTTAATTCACAGTTTCCCTACATAACCCTGTTTCCCCTTAATTCGCAGCCATCCAATTAACGATGCGTGCGTAATTATCTCGATAATTATGATGAAACAAAATACAGAAAGAAAAAAAACAAAACGAGAAATAACAAAAAAAAAAACAGCTTTCGCAAAATGCAATTAGAGCAGAGCGCTCACGAATTCCATCATGGAAAGCTCTGGCAGAAAATTTCTTTAAGAGTTCTCTACATTTTGTTCACGACATCGCGCATTAATTGCGCATACGCCCCGTTAAACGCTTGCCCACAAATCGAAGGCAACAAAATGCTCTAAGGCCCATTGATTGATGGTTGGTTTGCCGCGGGGGTGAAAAAGTCAGCAGGGGGGTGGCGGAACGGGAGAAGTTGTTTTCCCACGCGGATGGGAAATGGGAGTCGGAGTGGCGCCACCTAGCGTCATTTGCCAGTCTGCACGTGTCGCACGTCCTGTTTCACATCTACACTGAGCGAAAAGCTGTATTGCTGTGCGAAATTCAAAAAATATGTTCAAAATAGGAATAAACAGCTTATTAATGCCCAAAATATAGTTGCTTTTCAATGTTTCAAATAAAACGAAAGTTTAAAAATATATTTCTTGGGAATGGCTATATATGTTTTCAGTGCTTCAGAGGCTGGCATTTTATTTGAATTTTCAATATCTTTGACGAGGCAAACACATAGCCCCTGTCTGCTTTCCGCCCATGCCAGGCAAATATTGGCTTTTTGTATGTCACCTAAGTGAAGTTCTCATAGACAAGAGCAAAAATGGCACCCACATAGAGTGAATAAATGAAACAAAAAGCGTTGAAACAGACGTGCAATTTTTTGGTGTCACCAGCCAGGGGAAAAATGGGCGTGGCAGCCAGATGTGACCGCCGCAGTAACACCCACGCATC